CGGTGATCGGATGTGGAGCAAGTTCGAATTCGTTGAACACGCTTCACGGGGCAGATGGTGCGTTATTCTGGTTGGTGGTTGTTGCCGCACGAACTGTGAGCCTACTGGGGATTCAAGTAAGTTGCTATGCCTGTGAAATTCCTAGCCGCGTCAATTCCATGCTACTAGATCGCTCTAACGACCGCAACGGATGTTCCGGTCCTATTTGGTATCTGAAGCTATGCATCTGTACATGTTACAACCGGGCTTTGATATACTTAGCTTCGGCGAACGCAAACCAGACTCTGTTGATTGAAGTGTTCAGTTTTTGTTGTCCGAATATATATAATTATTACAAATTGTAAGAAAACAGAAAGTAGCGAACAAGTTCGTTTGCGGTGATTGTTCTACAGACTAATAAATCACAACTTATATCAAACTGTTTAGAAGGGGGGGGGGAGAAAGCATGACAAGTTGGAAAAGNCATTCCAGTTCCGTGACTGGATGTTGCTCACACTTTAGTCCTCACCCGTGTGCACTGGTTCGAGTCATTAGCGGTGGGTGGGAGGATGACTGTCGTATGTGATGCTAGCCATGGAAGACCGAGTGCGTTCTTACGAATAGTTTTTGTGAGCATAGGGGAGGGGGATTATGTTGGTGGATTCCGATCGCCTCCGCTGTCGCCAAAATGTGACTCCTAATCCTCTTAGATCGACGGCTACCAACTAAGTAGTGGGGTCAAAACGCCTCGGATACATTTACGACGTGGTTTGACTCCACTAGGTGTGAAACGGTCTAACTGTTGATATGCCTAATCACTCCACTATTCAGCCAGACCGGGTAGTGCTCACGGACTCGTTCAGATAGATCTCTGCTCGTGCGACCAAAGTACCTTGTCACACAGGAACAGGTAAATAAGTAACCACAGAAAGAGTTGAAAGCACAAAAGTTCCGTTTTTTCATAACCGTTTACATCATTCCACAAGCGCACTAAAATTTGCGAACATGTATGGTTTCAGGAAAGTTTTTTTTTGAATTTATGCCAATAGCAAACTTCAGCCGAATTCCTTCCCCGAGAAGTTGATTTTCATGGTTTCTATAGTTTTCCATTGTTGGTTCCCGAATGATATGTGCTCTCTCTCTCTAGTTCCAGGTTCCGGCAACCTTAAAGGCGTAACAAAATATCTAGAGTGATCGATAAATAGACGCGCGATTATTCGTATATATTCCTACTGACAAGTTTTAATGCTTAGAAAAAGCCCATAAACTATCATACGTGGATGACTCAGTATTGAACGGGCATTACTCTTAATGAAGCAGCACGTAGGAAAACGAAAAATAGACAGAAAATGTGGATGTTGTTTGTTTATTTATGATAAATGGAGATCAATCTGTGCAGTTCAGTTCAGTTCACTATACGTTACGGAGGATTGCTTATTATTATTACTATCCTCTTACACGAATTTCTGTCTGATAAACAGCAGGCTGGGTCGACTCAATAGTCACGAAGACTTGCCGATCAGTGGTTGGAACCCGCCATCCAAGTCCCGGGATCTGGAGTGGCGAACCCCGTAGGGACCCGCTTGGTTAGATGGCATTTCATCCAGTTCTACTATACGATACAATAACTTGACCAATAAGGAAGCAGGATGAATATAGACTGTCGGTGTTTGAACATCGCTGCCTACGCATTATTACACGAATCTGATGAGGCAACCGGACAAGCAATGCTGAGATTAGGCGCAGAGTTTTTGGGTAACCGCGCTCGTCCACTGGAACAAGTAATCGAAATCCATAGATTGGTTGAGGTATGTGTTGTGCATGGGACTAGAAGTAGGCATTGTCCAATTCTAGAGTAAGATCGTTCATGGTAAGAAGGGAATGAAGAACTGATCCTTTTGATATCCTCCTTCTGGTGACCTCCTCTGATCTCGACGTTTAATTACCAACCGGCACACACAGTTGCCAGGATACTGCCTTAAACAATGTCACCGGGTCCAGACTATTCCAAACTTTGTTAGCTTCCTATCAAGGGATGTAATACCTAACGAGTCAAAGGCTTTAACAGTAGCACTCATTAGCTGTTTGCATACAATTTCGAAGTCTATTTTGTTGGGGACGATCCGGTCGTACTTTCTTTCAGACACAAATACCAATCCCATGTACTGGTTCACTACTAAAAAAAACAATATATTCTTTTGAGTTCCTTCTCGACATAGGAGAGAAGTTGAGAAAAAGAAAAAAATGAGAAAAAGCAAGAAAAAAGTCGAGAAAAGTTAGAAAAAAGTCTATAATTAGAACACGTGCTTACACAAGTGGTCCTCAAAGGGAATACCCAATCGGTAGCTGTGTATTTGTGCTGCAAGACTGATAAAAGATAAGCATTGTGTTGACTTGTTAGCTTAATTCCCGAATCACCAGTCGATTTCTCACATACTGGAATTTCCACAGAACAAGACGGATCGTGCACTCAGAAGAATTTTTCAGTCGTTAAACATGAGTTGACTTGGTGCACAGATTTACTCATCATAGAGACCTCTCAAAGTCCTCCATAGACAGTCAAGTAACCGGTACTGAAAACCACGAAAACGCCTTTGTCAAGACTGTAAACCATTTTTTTTTCTAAATAACGCTTATGGTTTACCTATTCCATTTAGGGAATGTTTTCACGGTACAATTTACAAATTTACCCATGCCATCACATTGTGTATACCTACCCACACATATATAAAAAGGTGTTGACAGATAATCGAAACCAATTTCCTACTTTAATTCATCCCTCTATTTCATTGCACACGCGTGCATACACATGACACTTGAGGAAAGATGTACATACACTCACCTCGACGCGGTTTGAATGTGCCAGAGTGGGAACACATCTTGACAATGAGCATGCTCGCACTGCGATTCACGCATTTCTGTGAGAAATCGCCGCCCATAGTCGTTCTCAGTGTTTAAGGCACATGACTAATTGTGATTACATGGCAATTTGGCTTACAACTACTACTTGTCACTGGTTACAATAACTAAACAAGTTTCTCTTCCGGGGGAAGACACAATTCCCCCAAAATCCTACCACACGTGACAGGTTGGGGTGGTTGTAGCCATTTTTGAGGCCTCATAACGCCATGTGTCCGCATAAAATAGGGAACGAACAGTGCTAGGTGTATCTGGATCCGCNCCCGCCTCAATAGTTGAGTGTGCCGGGTTTCTCATATTTGGATAATTGGTTTGATCAACGGAATCAATGAATTGTATTGTATTGTATTGTATTGTCGAGCTTGTCAAAGCATGGCGCTTGCATTTCAGAAAGTAAAAAATACAGTTTGTTCACTGTGTTACAGACATATAAGCAAAAAAGCAGGGTCTGTGTGTGAAATAGTACAGGTTAGTTTCAAGTTAGTACGCGGTTTAATGCTGACCAGATTTTTGTTCATCAGGACAGAGGGAAGTTTACGGCACTGGTGAACGTCTATATAGATCGGTTCTGGATAAAGCCAATGAACTTCTCCTCAACTGCCAATTAGCGATGGATCAGATCAGCTAACTATGAA